ACATATTTACAAAGATTTTTACAGTGAGATAAATTTGGAGATTATTTATTGGAAACTACAGTTATTAGCAGTATCTTTTAAAGAAATACTTGATTATTTATACTTGAATGATAGAATTTGCAGTTAACTTATAAATATGATTATAGTATATATAAAATATAAATAATACTTTAATATAATCTTAATTTTTGACAATAATTTTTTAAGATACCTTTTAATAATAATTAATTTTCAAGTTTGATTATAATGCTTATATAACTTAAATAATTTAATCAGTTAAACAGTTCTAGTGTTCTTTCATTACTACTTAATTTCAGTAAATTTTCATATAAGTAATTAAAATCTTTAATTATAAAAATGCTCATTGTTAGTTAATTACAAATTTAAATTCATTTTAATTTGTAATAAATTCAAACTCTTTATTATAAATGACACTGTTGATGTATTAATAAGAAATTAATTTTATATTAAATTATATTGGTTAAAGTTTGATAAAATGTAGATTAAGAAATAGATTGTTTTAAAATTTCAGTTTATTTAATTAATATTAATTAATTTTATTATTCAATGTAAATTTTTAGAACCTCCAATGTATACTATAAAACCTAAAGAAATGTATCAGAAAAGTGTTAATAAAGAAGTCAAAATGCCATGCGAAGGGATTGGACAGCCTAAGCCTTCAATAACGTGGAGAAAAGTAAGCATATAACCAGTAATAATAAGAGTTTGCATTAGGGAATTTATTAATTTCATATTTATTAATAAAAATAGCTACATAATTCAATTAAATAAAAAAGAATATTTTTCCATAAAATTTTAGCTATTAATTCATGTATATATATAAATTTTCATTAAATTTATTATAATTAAAACGTAATTTTTATTCACCGTCTAAAAATAAATAGATAAATTTAAATATTCTTTTTATAAAACTTAATGAAAAATGGCATAGTTTCACTAAATTTAACAATCAATTTTATATTTTATTAAACAATTCTCAGTGCTATACTTAAGAAAATGTCGAGCATTATCCTTACACTTTCTAGTAATTATTATAAATTATCTATTGCTGCCTTCATTTGAGAAAAGAGACAAGGTGTATTTCTCTTGAGCCTCCTATGAGTATTTAATCAAATAATGTGTGCTTTCTGGTTCCCAATTCACCATACACTTTTCATGCTTCATTAAGATTTTCCTTTCTCTCTGAATATAGTTGATGATATGGAGTAGTTCTTGTGCTTCATTAACTTGTCAAAATATGTGACTTCTGACAAAATAGATGTTGTTCTTATCATATTCATTTTCTTAAAAAATAAGACTAACTTTAATGTTAAATTGCAGTTATTAAAATTTTTTTTTTACAAAATTGAATGAAATGTGCAATTACAAATAAAGTAATAAAATAAAATTTTCTTATAAAATATTAATTACAAAATTATTATTTTTTACTAAAATATGAAATATTTTTTAATATAGAATTAGGAACAATTTTTTATTATATGCTATAAATATTTTTGTATATTCAAGAGAATTTAAACTGATTGTATAAATAAAATTCCATTTGTTTTTTTTTTTTAACTTGAATTATTATTACAAATATAAAACAGGTATCTTATAAATAAACTGATTTTATTTCTTTGATTCTACTTTTTAAATTATTTATTACTCAGTTTATAAATATGAAAATTCCAAATTTCAATTATGTATTTTCATTTTTCTATCTACACATTTGTTAAAAAAAATAGACATAGGCTATGTATTACATTATTACAGCATTACATGGATATTAGTTAAATCCTTTAAATATTATTATTATTTTTTAACTTGAACAAAACCAAAATAATTTTGTAAGTTAAATATTTATTGTTCCAATGCATTATTAAGATGTAGCAAAAGCTTTTCAATATTCTTTTAGTGTTTTCATGGTTTTCTTTATGTAAATTATTTCTTTCATTACTTCATTTTAAATCAATACACTTTGTTTTAGTGATTTTGTAAACAATATTTTACTATAAATCACATCAGATGTGTTGCTTTTTTATCTCAAACAACAAAGATAGATGTAATATTACCAGTATTGTAATATTTTTATATATGTTACTAATGAAATTTTTATTCTGTAGAATTTGATAGATTGAAAAAGAAAAATATATATGATATGAAAAACTCACAAAAACTTTCTTACATTTGGCAAATGTAATTCTCATTATTAAATTTTATTATAAAATTTAAAAATAAAAAAAAATAATAAGAATCAAGATTTGCATTAATTTTTTTAATCTACTGATTTATTAATGTTTTATAATATCTATCAGAAAACTTTTATTTCTTTCATTTTATTAAACTTATAAGGTTCCTTGGATGTTTGTTTCAACTCCATAAATATTAAATTACTATAAATAATGCTAACATTAGCATTGGTTATAGAAATTTTCTTATAAGGTACTTTTATCATTTCAGATTGAAAATTAATTTGATTTTTTATTTTGTTTAGAATATTATTTAATTTTTTAAAACAAATATTTGAATGTATATAATTTAATTATTTTTTAAACAATAATTAATTAATTTAATTAATTAATTAAACATTTTAAATATCTTTTAAATGCAATTATTAATTATATTTAATTATTTTTATGGTGATGATTGAATACGTTAATGGTTTCTATGCCAGCAGAGAGGAGCAGTTAGATAGATTATTTGATTTAGATGAATTGGAACTAGCTGTATCACAATTGAAAAATAAAGCCATGCCTGGTATAGATTGTATACTTCCTGAAGTTTTTAAAAATCTACTCAAGACTCTGAAAACTAATTTTTTAAATTGATTTAATGGAATATTTTTAATTGAGATAATCCCAAATCTTGGAATATAATAATTTATAACATGATTTATAAAAACCAAAAATAATCCTGAAAACTACTGTCCAATTGCTCTGCTTGTTACTTCTTTAAAAATCTTTTCTTACATATTAAAATTGGGATTTGATATTGCTAATAAAGAAAAAAATTTTTACTCTTCCAACAATTTGCTTTTTGCAGAGGTAGAGGAACAATGAGTGCTATATTTGTATTAAGTACTTTAATTCCATTCATATTACAAATATTAAGAATTGACATTCACTGGTGTTCTTCACCTATCTATCTTAGGCTTATAATTTAGCCTAGTTAGTAAGCTAATTCTTATACTGATGAAAATGAGATTATCTGTTAAACTTGGGTGTTTATTGCAGTCTTCATTTTCTCAATTTAAGAAAGCTATCTCCCAGGATGATGATTTATCAAGTTTTTTTGTTCTACTAGGTAACCTACCACAGGACAATCCTTTGAGTTCATACCTTTTTGTCCTTTACATTTCAGACTTACAACCTAAGCTGTCTATATTTAATAACAATAATAATCAAATAGATCAATATAATATAATAGTGATCTGGCTTAGGTAGATCACATATCTATTTTGTCAGTGAATAAAATAAATTTATAGCATAAGATCAATTTGTTTCATAAATATCCTTTTGGAGAAAGATTTAAAAATTATCATAGATAAATCAAAAATGGCCATATTTCAGAAATGTAGTTTATTATGTAAGTGATAAATGGTTCATTGGTAATCAAAAAGTGGAAATTGTAAATGAATATAAATGTCTTTGAATCATTCATTCTTATAATACAGTAGTTTATTTAATAACTACTTTTGAGTCAATTTTAAAAATTATACCTAATTAAACAAGAATTTAATTGTTTTATTGATTTAAAGTAAAACAAATATCAGTTATTTTTAAATTAACTAAAGTTTGTATCTAAGTTCAGTCTTATATGATTCCAATATGAGGATCAAACTTCTTAGGTAAAATTCTTAGAGTTAAATTGATATTCATCTGTTACTTTTAAACTAGACCGTTCTGCCTCAGGTATGATATTAGGTTGGATTTAAACAGATCATGTCTTCCTCTTATAATTATAGATTCTTTATTTATTTGCTTGTTACAGTGACTTAACATTTGAAAAATAAGTTCAAGGATACAAATCTTATCATATCACTTTAAAAAGTTTATCATCTGCATGGGTCTTAGTCTATCATTAGTGTTAGAATCTGTCAATACTGTGTGCCATTTTACTTTAAAGTTTACTTAGATTGGTTAAAAAATTATTATTGGGATAAAAATTTAAAGTCTGTTGAATGTTCAAATTGTCACTCTTGATACAAGACTAGTTTGCTACATGGTGGTTTTTACTTAAGCTTCAAAACTTAATTGCAAAATTATTGATAAGTTATAATTTACGATTAAATAAAAGTATTTGAGATATAAACACCATATCATAATGTTTAATGAAAACAAATATATTTTTGTAATTGTGGAAGGTTTTCAATACCCCATTTGATTGTGTGATGATCGTTGGTTAATGGAAAAAAGACAAGGTGTTTGAACTCTTGATTTTGTTGTTCAAAACAAGTTAGAATTGTATTTGATATTACCAAAAAAAATGATGCACTTACTATTTTTTACATATAAGTATATCTTTATTAGTATGTTATAATGTGTACTAATAGCTAAACAGCAATGAATTTCAATTTGAATATTAAATGCACTTTTCATCTATAATGTGAACTTTATTCTAATTAAAGTGAACAAAGCAGAAAACATCTTAAGATATTTTAATTTTTCCATTTTCTCTAAACTTTTATTATGGTACTTCCCACTGTTTACATCCAAACTCGTCAGTTATATTTTTCAATTTTTATAACATGATTTGTTAAATTTTCTTTGTTTTGTATTTTGTAAATTTTTCTTTGTTCTTCCATTTACATGTAATTTATGCAACAAAACTCTGGAGGAAGAGTTAACTCTTAATTGTTTAAGTTAATACCAAATAATAAAGCTAAATATTATTGATATTAGAAAAATATATATATATATATTATACAGTACATCCCTAATAGTCTGAAATAAAGAGTGATTGATTGATTATTTTCATGATGTTAGTGAATAGTATTTTAGAATTAAATTTTCAAATATAAGATTTTTATCACTAATTATAGTTTCATTAATTTAAAATTATTAAAAAACAAGCTTAAAAATATTGTTTTGTATTTTAAAAATTTTCAAAAAGTTCACTTAAAATAGAAATTTTATTTTTAAAATTTTCAATTAAAAATATTTAGTTATCTAAATAATTATTTATACATTCTTTAATATCATACCAAAGAATGTTTTTCTATTAAATAAATTACAATGCTTGTCAGATATTAATTTAAAAAATAAAGTAATTAGTAAAGAATCAAATTCATTAAATCTGATTAAAATTAATTATTGTGTGTAAATAAATAATGATGGTAATTGATTACTTGTCAAATATAACATAACATAGCAAGTGATAAAGATTTTCATTAAAAAGTAGTTTATAATTATATTTACTTAATTTTTTTTTTTGTTTACTTTTCTAACTGTCTTAAATTTTTATTGCTTTTGCATTTATGAAAAATATTCAAAAAAATCTTCAAACATCAGTTTTTTTTATTTAAAGCTTTACATCTAAAATGATAGCCTTCACAATTCTCTTTAACCAAAAAATTAAGAAAATAGAAAATATACTGAAGCTAAAACAAGTGAGGAATTTAATTTTATTATTTTATAATTTTTCTAGAGAAAAACATTGCTTTAAAATGTTTAAAACAATGTATTTAAAAAATTTTTA